CGTTGGATAATGGACTTAGTACATTCCCAGACTTTTCTTCGACATTGCTAATAAGTCTTGCCGTTCTCAGTGAAATCATTCTTTTGACCAACTTTATGCAGAACGGCTATGCTATCATACTCCTCTTTCTGTCCTGGTACATTTACCTATGCCTATACCTCTTATTTCACTCCTATTATATCACATCTTCCTACTTATTTATATTAGTGTGCCCTTTTGGAGAGTTTAGTGTTGTGTCATCACACTCGTAAACGTCAAATGATAACAGTCAAAATGACGAAAAGGATCTCTAATATGTGAGGCACCAGTTGAAACTGCGTACGTAAAGAAACCAAGGATGAAGCCAGAGTGTGCAAAGTTAAAGGTTTCTAGAAGGAAAGATCTCATTCATCAAATAAAATTAAAGAAAAAGTGGGAAATTTAAATTTTATATGTATCTTTCCATTGAATAGGTGTCGAAATTACTGGTAAATCTTGTGCAATGAGTGTATTCCCTCTACTACACACAAGAGCATGGAGGACTTAAAATAGGATTTTTTCACAATGATATCAGAACGCCTCACGATCCTGTAATAACTATGTCATTGAAGAGCGGTCCAAGCTGGAGTCAATTCTGATTGAGAATACCTTTCGGGAGCAAAGGCTAATTGAAATTCAAAGGCATCAGGAGGCCAATTTATACCATTGTGGAAACATTCATTTATCAGTACTTGATTCCCTTTGCGACCTAGGGTAAATAAAGCTCTTACATAAATGTAATGAGATGTATTCACCCTATTTCGTCTAAGGTGATAAAGGACTGGTAGTAGAATTTTCCCACAATGCGAGATGTATTCACCCTATTTCGTCTAAGGTGATGAAAGACTGGTAGTAGAATTTTCCCACAATGATATGAAATGTATTCACCCTATTTCGTCTAAGGTGATAAAGGACTGGTAGTAGAATTTTCCCACAATGATATGAGTTGAGCTGACGTTTCCATTGAATTTCACATAGCGACTCAATGGTACTCGTGGCAGTGTAGCCGAGAGGTTAGAGTGTCAAGTTACCGTCCTGCACTATCGCGGTTCAACTCCCGCTGAGGGTGTTGATAAGACCGATGCGAGGTCAAAACTGCAGTCCACCCTGGATGAGAACAACT